GAGCCAAGCGGAATGCTCTTGACCACAAAGGCTAGGAGTGGAGGGTTTGTTTTGTATTCATGTTGTAAGCATTTGAAATATTTATAATGAGTAATATTTCAGGATTCATTTTGGCGTAGAAGCTGATGCAGCCCAACCTCTACCGTCGCCACAAGCCTTTATCCCATCAGAGGATATAACTTTCGATGCTCTAGGCGTGAGTAGTCCTTCTCATTGCGACAGCCGTGATCACGTAGATGCACAATTAACTTACCGGGTTTGGGAGAAATCTCGGGCTGTGTGGGCCCAAAACGGCCCAGCCCAAGCAAGGTCCATCTTCCAGCTTAGCGGAAGAGGGATTCAGGTCAACGGGACGAAGCCTTGATCCCCAGGAATATCCAACTACCTCATCCCGAAACCACATTCCTCCAGTTTGACCACTCGGCTGAGGTGTCACCTAGTGTGTCCGAGGTTCACACACTGCTCCGATTTTTAGCTGATAGTCATGCGACTGTTGGGGCCCCATGTTCGATAGAAACAGCGAACAAAATACAGCACGGTAACCCAGATCTGCATCATGAAGGGTCACTCGTTCATTGCTTGGAGGGAAGTATTGTGAAAGTATTGTGAGGAGTGTTTTGCACGGCAAAGAAGATTGTGTGATAGAGAACGATGAATGCTTAATTGTCTAGAGAGGAAGAGCGAGAAGCTCTTACTATCTACTATTGTGAGCGAGACAATTAGGTTGAGCGAACAGTAACAAGAAATGCAAGGAGGTATCTTCAATAGTACCGGAGGCCTAGATGTGTGCCTGGGGTACGAATTGATGTAAGGAGAAAAAGTAATAGTCTGAACGATACCACAATATCCGTTACTGGTAGTGTCAGGAGCCATGTTTCAACAGGAAGGAAGGTTTACCAGGTATGAGCTACCGCTTGTCCCTGTCATCACTTACTCCCAATATCCCCCGAGCTCGGTACCCGATACCGCACGCAAAACAGACCTACTTTCACCGGGTACTCCAGAAACCTCGCTTTCTCCCGCCCCTCAACTACCGCTGATTCCATCCCCAGTCACCCAGTCGGTGATGCAATGAGAAGGGAGTAGTGGCACGAAATCAATTCTTGAGCAATCTAATCGATCAACTGTTTGTATCAGCTTTTCCTCTGATTCATCAAGTGCACTATCAAGTCCGAACTCCATCCTCCTTGCCTAAACCTTATTCCCGGATTCGGAGCTTTTACAAATAAGGCCAGCGAGGTCCACCGGACCATGATGGCACAGGGCACGTGAATTGAACCCAAGCCTTCATTCTGATATCATGGATCCGGCCGCAGTTGGAAAGCAAGGAGGAAAAGGATCACAGCTGAGGTGTACTGATGGAATGCTGATTGTGGTGGTGTCCGGGAACTTCATAAATCAGCGGCCTATTCTTGGTAGGTACTGGTAGTATATGTGATGCTTACGAGAGGACCATAAGCCCGGTGGAGTAAAAATCCGGGCAACCCGCCCCCTCGTGGGTGTGATCTATTTGTCCTATTAATGAGAAGAAATTTCCGGGACCGGGGCGAGTGAAGTAGGCCCGACACCCAATCCAAAACCCTATTGAATTAATGCTCGCAACTAAAGGAGGTCGTGAGGGGGTGCCGAGGTGCGGTTTATACCCGGTGAGAAAAAAGCTAAAGCTCCTCTACCTATTCCAAAGGTACGAATTAAGTGTTGATCCCCCTTGCCTCCGTAGTATCTAGGGACAAAATAACGGGCAGTGCTCCGTCCAACTTGCTGTAACTCCTGAATAATCCTGTAGAGCATTTCGCATGCGGAAATAGACGAACGGTTAGCTGAGTTAGCCTGTGTTCTAGTCCGTTGGCCTGAGTCTGTCCCGGTGGGGGCAAATTTGCTCATCTTCAACCCTGGTTAACAAATTGCGAGGCTTGCCTGGTTACAATTCATACCTATTATCAATTTTGAGCTAGATCGAGTTTGGTACCGCGATGGGGAATTCTATGCAATGCAGTATCATGCTCTCGAGGCTAGTCGCAACTACCCATGTATTGCTAGGATATCTATGTAGTGTTGCATCCAGAAAAAAAAGTTAAACAAAGAGCAGAAACGCAAGATCACAATAAATCAATCCCGCGAGAACAAAGAAGACTCCGTCCCTCCACAGTAGCCCCTTTTGCAAACCTGCAACTATGGCCGTTGCACTGCTCTAAAAGGGAGAGAAGGAGAAGGAGAAAGAAATACAGAGAAAAGGGGAAAAGCTAAGCTCCGAGATCCTAGTCCCGTGTTCACTAAGACACGACCAAACTAGAGAATAAATAAACTGGTAAGCCAGCTTAACACGTTCCCCCTCTCCCAATCTTCCCCCGCCCCTCTAACCACATCCAAGACAATACTTCTCACGTTACTACTTCTGTCGGGGAGTCTTTGGATAGGTCGGTGTCTGGTAGAATGATCCCAATATCCAGATATAGGGGAGACCGTATAGTGTTGGTGAGATGTATGGAAAAGCATGGATGCATGTGTTAGGGCTGTGGGTCCCTAGTTAGTCGGTGCGACTATATTGTGTGTTGTTAGGGGAACCGGCCGTCAGTGGTGGCTTCCTCTCTTTTCACTATTTTTAGCCTTCTCCCCGAGCTTCTGATTGAGGACAAGAACGACTCCTCTCTCCTCACCTTCGGTCTTTTTCCATACGGTGACTCTATCCCTTTTTCTGCTGCACCGAGTCCTGCCATCAATATCCTGGTGGTAGGTATGGATGTATCCCCCAACCGCGCTGCTCACAATCCGAGGAGTAGCCAATTTTGTCACCAAACTGGGAATAATAACAATGGATAACGGGTCAAAGTAAAATCGATTGGCCGAGCGGGCTATATCAGGGCATTCAGTGTGCGTCGGCGGCTTTGCTAACGTGGAACAAGGAGCTGTGTTAGGGGTGCCAGACTGGGTGCTGGATAAATAAGATGGAGATATAGTAGGTTTGGAGAGGTGAAACACACAGCGAGGGTCCTAGATCCATGTTTGTATATTAGGGTGAACTCGCGGTGAAGGGAGCTAAAATTTGGGAGAACGTCGTGGAGGGTTTCCAGAGCAGCAAGTAGCAGAAGGGAAGTTACGATTGAGGAAATGAAATGTTGTTCGTTTGGGGTGAGCAATAGAGCACAGCCGTGAGTCAATCGACTGCCGGGGATGTAGCGCGTGTAGGTAGCAGTAGTAATGTGAAATACTGGCAAGAAAAAGAAAAGGGGGAGGTAAAAAGGTGGGATAGGTGAGGAAACGATTCCAGAATTGGTGGTGGCTGGAGGAATAGAACATTCGAGTAGCAGACCAAGTCCAGTCTGGTTGAGTTGCGTGGGCCATGCTAGTGAAATTATAGATTTGGATCTGCTCCATGTGAGAGGAGAAGTTGCGCAATCGATGCATTAGGGAATGCTTTAGCAGCTCGGAGTGCATTGCCATACTCGCCACCCTGAGCATTCACCTCTGCCCCATGCTCGAGGAGAAGCCGCACAACTGATTCGGTTTCCCCGTATGCAGCGGCTTGTAGTGCATTGCCATACTTGCCGCCCTGAGCATTTGCCTGGGCGCCATGCTCGAGGAGCAGCCGCACAACAGATTCTTTTTCAAAGTATGCAGCTGCTTGTAGCGCATTTCCATACTCGCCACCCTGAGCATTCACCTCTGCCCCATGTGCGAGGAGAAGCCGCACAACCGGTTCGTTTCCCTCATACATAGCGGCTTGTAGTGCATGGGCATAATAGCCACCCTG